TACATGTTAATTTATAAGTTACCGTTGCTCTTTTCACTCAGTGTCTCACGTACCTCACGAAGACAAGGCAAAATTCTCGAGTGTGACCATTTTTTAGCAGTCAAATTTTCTAGCGGTCCCTTCACATATTATTATTAAGTTTTCTGCGTTTTAGGAAAAAAGAAATCGCACTTGGACAACAGGCCCGGAACAAAATGATTCTCAGTGCAAAAATTGTGTACTGAGTGGAAAGCCTATACTGCGGCGCATGTTAACAATTGTCTGATTAATTTTCTTCTTAATGACAAGTCAGTTCTAGAATTGCCTGCAAAAGCAAACAACACTCGGCGTCTGAATCAGCTTCAAAGGTTTCCGAAATTTTGCGGGAATCAGATTTTGCGCTGAAAAACGTCGTTATCAAGTTACAGCGTTTGGGTATGTAGCGAGATATCGTACTATACTTAACTGAAAAGCTTAGGTCGAAAACACAGGGTGCATGAGCAAGGCCGAATTCCGAAGTTAAGATGTGGTATAGCGTAATCCAGACTGCATGAGACTTGCACCAAGTGACGCAATTCATGGTTCGTCTTTCAAATAAAACTATTCCGACTGATCAAACAGAAGTAGGGGCAGTTCTGTCAACCACAACACATGTTTGACAAAAGAGCAGGACAGAAAAAACAGCATTCAGCAGTTTTATAAAGCCCCTTCGTAGGTTTTTCAGCATTTCTTTATCATACTCAAAAAGACATTGTTAACGCAAAGCATACATATTCTTGGCGACAATTAAAGACTCTCTGCGTCTATAAGCATGAAAAACTGTTATTCCACTCTTACTGGTAACGATGATAATAATCATGTTATACAACTGAGAACGCTCAGCGCATAGAACATTTATTAAAGGTTATTAGCTTAACCTGGTGCTATTTGTGAATCGCTAAAAGAGCCGGGTATTTATCTAAACACATTAACTTTAATATTAGATTTACATTTATCTTCACTATCAGACCGTCAATCAAATTACCGCAAAATAGATGTTAGTCCAAAGGTCACGCGGATGCCAACTGAAATCATCACGGAAAGCGCGCAAAAAAGGTCTGAGGGTCTGCACTGTTTCTAGTGGGGTAGATTACGGTCGGTACGCATCTCTGTATGTAATGCGGAGCCGTTTATACATAAATATTAAGCGTTATTATTTCAGTATTGCGCACGTAAAAGAAAAATATCATTCTTATTAAACCCCCGGTAATATGCGGCAGGTAATTGTTTGTAAAAAATATTGAAAAGTAAGTAACAGTCCGACGGCTTTCTGTACTACAATCGACTATCTCTTGACGGACACCTCTATATATAAGACGGTCAACGCGCTAACTGGCGGAGACCTACGTTTAGTCCCTGCCCATTTCTTTACTCTTTTTAGCTGACTCTCTACAAGACGGACACATAAGGTGGCCGGCGGGTCCCGAAGTTGTCCGTCTTAAGGTAATGTTACACGAGACGATTTGCAACGACGATTTTTAGCACAACACAGCGTTGCAACATTTTTTGCGACATTGTTTTGAATGCTTGCAACCTTGCTCCAACATTGCAACGCTGTGTTGCGCTAAAAATCGTCGTTGAGAATCATCCTGTTTAATATCACCTTTAGAGAGAGTTCACTGCATGCCCTTCCCCTTTTTTGCAAATAATAGACGAAAAACAACAAAAGTGGTGCATAAAAGGCTAAAAGCATTTTCACAGTGTTTTTTTCTGCCGCAACATCATATCTTAAGGTCAACAGGAAGTTCTGGATGGAATCAGGTTTGTCATAAGCACGGTGACTGAACATCCGACTATTCAATTTGCTACACCGGTTTTGTATCTGGCCACGCCTATTGATTTTTATCACAGCCATCATCGAGACCTTTTGCAGTGAAAGGTCTGAAGCCGGATTTATTAATTAAAAATTTAATGAGGTGAGCCGAAAAACATGAAAGATGCCTAATATCTTGAGTCAGAGTGGGTAGCAATTTGTTTGTTTTTGTTTTTTTTTTGCTTTCGCTCCTTCTGAGGCGAATAAGAATGGTTCAAGTTTGTCAAAATGCTACCAGTAATTGAACGAAATCGGATTGTAAAGAAACACACAAATACATTACAAGCAAATTTAGGAACAAAGGCATATAGATTGGTTTTATAAAACTTTTATAACACAAATCAACTTTCCCGCCGCTTCACCCTATAATAGAGAGGCACCGAAAAAACGACTGTTTAATAGCGCCACAAACTGGATTCATCTTATCACACCAAGAACAAAAAGCACAGTGGCTTAAAAGCGTGCCTCAAAATAATTTTAACTGACTACCGTAAGAAGAAACCGCGATGACCAATCTATGTGTATTTTAGTATAGCCCGTGGCATTGTAGAAAGCAAGGGCAAATTTGAGTGTGGGGTTAACTCTGCTACACCCTTTTTGTGGTTGTCGCTGTTTTGCTCTGCTTCTTTTGGTTTTGTTTTGAGTCTTTAGTTCCTTTTCAGTTTGGTCTGATTGCTTGGCAAAGCAAAAGCAACGTCGGTAACTGAAAGCATTTTTCCTTGACAGGTAATTACACTTGAACTACAAAAGCAAAAGTAAAAGATTTGTTTAACAAAGGCGCAACATCTTGCGTGCCAACTAAATGGAAGCCGTTGCTACTGGTCACACACTTTCGAATCGAAATTCCCGAGTCTTGTTATCAGGTTCGGTTATTAATCACTTATACGCCAAGCTCACGTCATTTCTCGTGATGAAATCGACTATACATTAAAAATCACGAGAGCACGAAAGCCAAGTGAAAATATCATAACACGCAAAGCACTTCACTAATTGATATTGACATCGTTCGACTTAATTGCAATGTCTTGATATAAATTTGATATTCACAACGCTTGTAAGTCCATTAAATCAAGCATTCTTACATCGTATATGTCGTCTGGGATGCTAACCGCAAAACGCTCCCTACAATATCACCGTAAATTAATTGCTTACAAGTATTTGCCAAAATATCATTTGGCTTAGACTCGAAACCCCTACTGTCTCACCGCGCAATTACTCAACTTGTAGTCATAATTAAGGAAAAGAACACGTGTTCGAATAAAGAGAATTGTCAACCAAAGAATACCGTATCACAAAGTCAATCAAACGGTTTAGATGAACACAGTATAGATTTTTTTTCTTTATGATGCCTGGAAACGCGCAAATATACTTTCAGCGTATACTCCTCGGCGTCAAGCCGGTTAAAACCGCTCTAGGGAAATCTTGAGGTTACCTAAGGTTCCCGGAGAAAAAGTGAATATTTTTGGTTCATGTACTTGTACACACAAAAGATTTCCAATTGGTTTGCCAGCCTGATGTATTTTTATAAAAAAAAAATATATATATATATATAAATATTAAATGTTTGATCCGAAACTAATAGCAACGCCGGTAGCGTTCAAGGGATGTCTTACTTTATTGAAGAGCGCATGAGACAAGCTTCGTATGAAATGGTTAATGAAATGGTTATGAAATGTACTGGATATAACTTTATCATAGTATTGTTTATTTGATAATTAAAAGAAAAACGAAAATTTTGATCTATGTTTTTCAGTTTCTTTCTTAGGTACTGTAAGGCTTAGAGTTGTTAGCAAAAGAATGGATTTTACGAGTTTGTGGTTTAAGAATCTACCACTCGAACAGATATACTTTACTCTTCCCTGCTGCGCCTCTGAGACAGTTCATTTGTTTCAGCTGATTTTTGACTTTGTTTTGCTTGCGAAAGCATAAATGTCAAAGAAAAAAGCTTGAGGGCAATTGACTACCCCATTAGCGATGAAGAAGAGACGCAAGTGTGTGTGCTAGTACACAGGATTAGCGACGATCAAATTTAAGCTCTAAAACCGGGGCGCGGTCTTAGGGTTTAAGAGGGCTCAGTGGTTGAGTAATACCATGCATTATCATGGAAATATTAGTGCACCTTCAGGCAAGAGCTTTCATCTAGACTGAACGAGCCCTAAAAAAATAAAATCACGCAAATAACTTCTAAACACCAAATTTTGTTGCAAGGCATTTTCGAAAAAGAATACAAAATAAACAAAGTAATGAACGCCGGTGTGTTATTAGCTGACTTTCCAACCGCTTCATCGCGGCGCCTATCAATGAGGTCCACTTAGCTACTTGCGCAAGTTTCTCTTCTTTACCTACTATTGCATATATCACAAGTTTACGCAAGCAGTATGTTCCTTATAAAAATAACGCTGAGCTGCAATGCAGTTTTGAAGCCTATGGAATGTAGCCAAAAAAGAAAAAGAAATGCGTGGCTTCATCGCGAAACGCGCAAATTCAAGGGCGTTGGCAACAGCGAGAATAAAAAGGAGGCTTGAAAGAACTCTGACATTTAAAATCGATTTACAACCACAGAAACTCGGAAAATGTTTAAACGGACAGCTGGCATTTACTGTTCCGCCAGCCTACTCCGTCAAATGAATATTTCACGATTTACAAATGGTTCCGCTGCTGCTAAACGTAAGAATAAGTTTAAATCTAAAATTCATTCATTTATCTTAAAACCATCCGGATTATACAACTGTCGGTCAAAACTAATTTCCCTGGACAAGATAAAGAAGTTGAACAAGTCACTTTTCACTTTCTGCTCACCCGCGCGTATTCAGCTATAAAGTGACCGTTCTACTGCAACCCTAATTTAAAAGTTGCGCCTATCTGCGATCTATCTGTCGACTTTTGAATTGCCTAATGAATTTCAGTGCCAAATCGATTCTATATGGAATTCAACAAGAAAAACTTTACAACTTTTCTGCCACTTTGATAATGCCTTGAGTTGCGTTGCCACAAGAATAAAATTTAATTTGGTTCAGTTAACAGCCATAGTGTAAGTCGCAGTTGCAGCGGTTTAATAAAACTGTACACTGATCATGAACTGCTTTCAGTAGGTGAGCATGAACATGCAGTGAAAGCCCTTAATATTTTGTGAGATCAAATACACGCAGAGGTTAATGCATTTTTTTGGCCTCTTTATTTTCAAGGCACTAATGTTTCAGTACAAAAGTATTACACATGGAAGTTTACGCGGAGGTGTAGAGGACTATTTCTCAACAACTCAGACTTAGAATACCCTATAGGACATAGACAAACCCCGGAGAGCAAAATATATATCCACGGATTAGATGATGTTTACAAATAGAGTTTGCTTTCATTTATGTACAAGAATTAGCCAGATTAGTAGAACTTCTCTTAGAACTTCTCGACACAAAACACATACATATCATTTTATGAAAATGGCCACAAGTAAAGCACGGTAGAAAAAGAGTCGCGATTGTGTTAAAATAGTAACGCGAAGGGCGTATGTTTGGTGTAAAGACAAACATTTCGCAAGAAAAAAATTGGCGTTTTTGTTCGTTAGAAACGAATTATTCAACCATACACTTAATAAACATCAACATGAACGATAATCAAGGTGATTTATATCTTCAATAATGATTTTGGAAGAAAAAATAAAAGACACTTGATTGTTTAAATTGCATGGTAGAACATTCTTCTTGTGCGAATATAGACTGAAATTGAAATGGTAATAAAAAATCTTTTCGTCCATCTTGATGGAATTTTATAAAAGACTTAGAGCGTAGAAAGATATCTGGACATCACGAAATCTTCATTTTTAACTTTGACAGTTGCCAAAAATAATAATAGGAATCTGTTTTTTAAATTTATTTTACAACTGGCTTCCAGCACAGCCACGCATGTATAGTATCTATCGATCAAAAATATTCGAAACCAATAAACTGCGCATTAATCTAGGCATCAACTTCTGGTGCCTTCTAATTACAGCCAATTTTATACCTGCATGAATGCGATATAACGATTTCCTTGAGAATGAATTGTTCACTTTAAATTATACATTAAAAAAAGAACTAGCAAAATTTTGGCAAAACTGTTATCCTACATATAGCCCTGTCTTAAACAATTTAGGCGCTCGAGGAGGATCAAACGTCTCTGACGCTCAAGTTCTTTGTCAGCTAGGAGTCGTTCCTCTTCTAAAAACAATTGGTGGACATATTCCCGCGCTTTTTTCAGTATTAAAACCTTAGATGCGCGGTCGTTATCTTCCAATTCAGGAATACTGTCTCTAAGAAACTGGAACCGGCATTTAAGATCTTCTCGCCGCTGCCTTTCCAAGACGTTGTGTGTAGCCCGGCTAGTTTCGTTATCCTCAGAGTCGTCGCCTTCAATTGGAGGTGAATCCTGCCTGCTCGATCGTCGCGGTTTGCGTGGTTTTTTGGCGCTGGCCACGTAGTCAAATCTTTGAGGGATAAACTCCTCGTTTGGGGGTCGAGGCAGTCGCATTACTTGATTTTCTACTGCAAAAAAGAAAATGTTGCAATAAAATCAGTTAAACTACCTCGCGCAATCAAAATTAATGGAGTTGGTAAAATTTCAATAATAAACAAATCGCGCACAACTTAAAATGTCTCTTGTGCTTGGAATGGGGGTTAATTTGCCTCTAGATTTGACAAACAAGTTATTTCGATACTTCTTGAGTAATTATTAGCAGTATGACAGACTTTTATTTAATAGCGAATCAAAGATGAAGCTTGAAACCCATTGTTTAAAGCGTTTCTGTTTTCGAAATAAGAAAGATTTAATTAGCAGCCGGCCACTCATAAAGGCTCGCTTGTCATAGGACAGATTGTGTATTCTATTTGACAAAAAGAAACTATCGAAAGGTTTAAAATACCAGTCTCAATTCAAGGCTTTTGTGAAGTTGTTTTCTGGGACTAAGTCACCAGAAAAAATCCCGGTTTATATGTGGCATTTAGTCGAAGTTTACCGAAAAACGCGCCAAGTGTAAACTAAAAATCTGCAACAAGTTGTAAACAAAGCCAGATCGTAATAAAACTAAAGTCTCTTAGACCACAGAGCGTGCATTTTAAACATTCAATTAGGAAGACGTTCCAGCGATAAACATTTAGACAGTTAGGCTGTTTATCAAGCTCTGCTAATTCCTTTCTTGGTTTCATAGCAATAGGCAAGAAACTCTTCAAATAAAAGTCAGTCATGCACGCGCCTTAGCTCAAAAACAAAATTTCCCAATTCAGTAGTGACAAAAGCAAACTAAATTACCCCCATTATTCATGATTGTAGAACTAAATCAAACTAAGTTTAAAGAGCCACTAAAGTCAACGAAATTTAGCCCTTGGGATGGCTGTTGTCTTGCAATTCGAAAGTGAAATTGCGTAGTTTAAGAAACCATCAGAAAACTTTGACTTCCCGGGTACAAAGTTAGTAGTTTCGCTATCTGAATGAAATAATGGCCATATTCACCTGAGAATTGAGAGTGCCATCTCTCTATTTGTTGCTGGGCGAGTGTAGGATCTTGGTTTGTAACCGTGGGGACAAAAGGAGGCAACTCGGGCAACATTCGGTGCTCTGCCGCCATTTCAGCGCTGGGTTCGTGCACACACGCCGCCGACAGCACTACCCGATTGCCTTGAAACCTTTGCGACTCGACGCGATCAAAGTCGCTCTCTCCAGAAGGCCAAATGCAGTCATCCTCAATTGTGGAACAAGTCAAACGCTCCATCTCAGCGTCGCTAAGTACCAAGGGAAGATCAGACGAGAGATCTTCCGGCTCAGGCACAACTTGAAGACCGTTTCTCTTGTGGGTTGGAATGATAAAGTTTCCTTTACAGTTACCTTGAGGCAGGTAGTTTTCTGGAGAGTACGGCGGCGTGGGGAGGGCAAATTTTTTCCAAATGTCATCGTTTTGTATTGTAGGATTGTAAAGATCCTCGGTGAGGCTTTCTACGATGACTTCTTGGGGCGCAGAAGATGACTCCATTGGCTGCGGGCCGCGAAGTCTCTCGTCGAAAAACATATCGTAACACAGTCTGTTATTAGAAAAAACGTACAAGTTATTAGGAAGCGCACTGCCACCATTCAAAGTACACATTTTCTTTTTCCGATTTGAAATCTGCACGCTTGACTGTTTACTTAGTCAAAACGTACCAAGTGATTGGATGAGGAAAAAGCTACTTTGAACTAGACCAGCCGCTTTTCACGTTAAGCTTCAAATGAATGACTGACTGAATGAATGGACTGATCATATCACAAAAGGCAAATTTGCATAAAGTCAGCCGATCGAGCTCAGGCGTGTGGTACGCGCGAGAGGGATTTGAATTTGACGTCAGTAAGTCTCTGGGCGGCAGTCGTTACACTGACGATTACTTTGATTTTCACTTGTGCACTGATCTGTGAACTTGGATGCTAGAATTTGACAAACAAGACTTGTAGCTTACAGGTTTTTCAGTCACCCACACTGAAATAAAGGATTTGGATGATTTACCCAAAATTGAATATTCATGTTTTGTAAGAGTTTTTCACAAGCGAAGGACCAGCCATAGTGACTTCGACCTGCTCTCTCCTTTGTTTCTCAAAAAACAATTATATGCGGCACCAAAAAATAACCAGTTTATTTTGCAGTGATATTTTTTAACACCAGCGCTCTTGAAAGCCCAAATCAGTAACTTTCTGAAGAAGCAGAAAATATGTAACAAAGAGCAACCATAGCAAAAAATTCTGATTTGCACTCTGAGCGATTAAGACCTATCGAATCTTATTTGAAGGAATTTCATCCATATCGTTGACCGAAAGAACGCATTTCTTTGATATACAAATCAGCGAGGAAACAGGTAGCTTATGGAATTCTGACAGCTGCTTTCAGATCGAAGCAATTACCCATAATTCAATACAAACAGTAATTTAACAGCTGCACTTCTTGAACGATTTTTCGAGCTGTGGAATAATTCGTGCCTGTTGATTCTTACCGCCACCTTGTGTAAATTAAATGGCACTAAATTCAAAGACAAAGACTCGGTTTGTCTTGGGCATTTTACTCTCGCAGTGCTTTAAACATGTACGAGTTTTTTCATAAGAAACAAATGGTTAACACTGCCCGACAAATCGGAACTTTGTGCGAAGATTTGTCACGAAGAGTTGAGGCGGAATCGTGAAGATCGCGTCACAAGGTTTTGAGCACAAAAGAAATTGTAAATCTTCTTAACCATTGACAAAAAAACACCAGAACCCATACCGATACTCACAATGTACTGGTAGCAGCAAACATTCTGCAAATGCTGAACTTCTGGACTCAATTCGACAGCGGATGTCTCTTCCTCTGCTTGACAAGCGTGGTACAAACTGTCTAATTAGTCGCGTGCCTTGCAAACGAACACTTGAGCTCTAATATCGGCTTATCTCGGAACTGCCGGCTGGATGCATGAGCGGGACTGTTGCTAGCCTGCTTGCATATGAATAGGATTAACACAAGAGGTTGCGAAAACAATTGAAACTGCCAAAAATACATCACGTCACACCCAAATCGCAAAGAGAGCAACCAGCATCCTGACCCAAGCAATGACCGTGAATTTAGAACCGAACCAAAACTAGTGAATCACTAGTCTAACGATCATAGGTCACATTCCAGGTCCTTTCTCCGAGGGTATAACTTTTGGCTGTTGTCAACATCCTTTTGCATTTTGCGTGCCTATGGTCTTATGGTCGTAGTCATTATTTGCGCAAGTGATAAAAAAAACTCTTTTAAAAGTCATAGAGGCCCGCCACTGTCAGCAGTCAGATGAAACAATATTTACTGTCCGTTCATTAATTTCGAAAATTTGGTAATTTTCAGGGGGTGTTAAGTACAGCTCGTGTGTCAATGGAATACCGGCGCGTGCCCTGCTAATTAGGCCACTAATGATTATAGTGAATTGAGTTTACGGCACGCGTAGAAAGGTATCGCAGATTGCGGACTAATTTTCCCGCCAAAACGAAATATTGGGGGGAAATGAAGGTACAAAGTAACTTGGACCAACAGAAACATTTTTTTTTTTCGTGTGCGCTTCCTAAGCCTTGTTCCTTAAACAAATAGACGCTTTGGCTCTTGCGTAAACAGAAAGGAGCAAAAAACAATCGAGCCCAGCACATTAGCATTAAGACAACAAACAGCGTTTTCCTTCAGAATGTTAAACCGAATTCTTTTGTGTGTGAAATGGCTCCAAAAGAAAAGAACATTTACGTTGCAGTGGTCCAAACATTAACCACAACAATCGCAGTCGCCAGCTCGATGCCATAACTGTGCTTCATTCGGCCCCCGGGGACAAAGTATTCAAGTGGATTTGGACCCCTTTTGTTTGCGGTCATCGTCGTACGGCCGGCACGCGCGCAAAAGACGCCTTCAATCAAGAGATAAGGAAGTCTTTCAAATGCAAATCGGAGGCGCGCTTTTTATTGCGAAAGTCTATAGTCAAGAACAAATGTTTATTCAAAGCTAGCAAATTATCTTCCCGGCGCGCTGACACCTTCAATAGGGCATTAAACTCGTACTTTTGAAAAGCAGCTGTCCACTGACAATTCAAGCATAGCAATATCCTACAAAACTTTTGCTAAATTTAAATTCCACGTTAAAATAAGGAGCAGTTATCAATTAAACTCATACTTATCTACTTATTTTTCAGACAACCACGGATAAGTTTGCTACAATATGAAAACCGATGCCATGCCCTTTTAACTTCAGTTTAAACAAATCTGAGAGGCTATAATTCATCGCTTCAAAGAAATAGTCGCCGAATAAAAACAAAACAATTTTAAGCTTCAGGGTAGCTACAAATTGCTTTTTAAAGTTCAGTGCAGCGTAATTTGATGGGGGTTACTTAAAAACGAATATTAATAACCACAAATATATAAGACACTAAAAAGATCTTTCGGAGGGATCAGAAAAAAATAGCACGACGCTGAACTGAAGGAATTCGACTTGCCGTTGATGATATTTTGCAACCTGTGGATTTTAACCGAGTGCTTAAGTATTCATAATTTTTAAATGTATAGATGGTCTTAAATGTATCAACATCTGAAGCACAGGAAAATATCACTTCCGCGCGCAATTTTAACTACAAAAAGCGTACAAAAAATTAATTAGACTTAAAAAGAAAACATAACAAGATAAATAAACCTTGTACGAACTTCCAGCTCTCGGGAAAATTTAAGGGAAAAATAAGGTTTGTTTTTTGTACTACTTATGAACTTTGCAGCAGATTCTTTGCGCACTGCAATCACTGATATTACGTCGTATATCGATGTATCGATCACAAGCGGTATTTATTACATTAGTAAGCTAGACAAATAAAATCAAATTCGCCTAAATGGCGGTTATTGTGAATAACCAGGCTCTACCATAAAAGTAGCTGACTATGAAACCGCAGTGGAAACTAAACTAATAAACTAAGATAATCCTTCAAGCATAAGACGTAATTTGTGTAATAAGCGCTGAAATTCAGCCAACGACAGCTGCCGTAAACAAAGGATCTATTTTTGCGCCATTCACTGGAACACCTGCCCTCTTGCAAACATTTTCAAACGCATTTGCATCACAATTCGGGCCTGCTCTTTACTGACTCGCACGGTAAACACTACAACACTCTTCCAATATGACCGGAAACGCTACGAAGAAATGGCTCGTGGAGCTAGCGCGCGCATCCAATTGTCTGTCAACGAAAAAAAAACTTCGATTACAAAAGTCTAATGCAGTTATGTTATCGCGGGAATTCTACGTTACAAACGTTAAAACTACAATGACGCGAGCGGGAAAAATTAAAAAGCTCACCAATCATACACTAAATTGGATCGTAAAATTACCAAGCAATTAAAGAAGGAATTGAGAAGCGACACAGAAAGAAAGATTCGCGTCCACCTTGTACAATCCATTAAGATATTAGGCAATTTTTGCGATTGAATTCAGTGTTGTCGGAGGTGTGAAATTGTGTCGAAAGACTTTTATTATGTTAAAAGTCTGGGTAACTATTATTAGTATTATTATTACTTATTATTGGTTTTTCTTGCGTAAGAGCCGAATTAGGGATACAACTCTGCCGAAATTTGTACAAGCATTGCTGAGGTTTCTCGAGCTCGTCATGTAGAGGTTTTTCTGACGTGGCAAAGGAACATTCGCTCATAAAAATTCTAGACAGCAGACACCTTACAACCTGTCTTGCGATCATTAAAGTGTCGCCATTACCTTACTATATCCTTGAAATGGTTCCTTTTCCTTTTTGGCAAGCGAATCAAACAGTGACTGTTAACTCGAGAACAGGATACGGTGTAGGAGAAACGGAGATTTGTAACCATATACTGTTTGACGCATACTTTGCGAAACAAGTTTTTAAAAAAACTTTTTACTTCCTTTGTTGGGTAAACTGTACAGGCTTGTAACATGTTAAAATACACAGTCATCGGAAGATAATTTTTGCCTACCATTTTCGGAGGATGACTTCAGAAGTTAAACTTATCTATGATAAATTGATCGCGTGAATCAAATTATATGAGAGTATAAACAGACGCTGCGGTTAGTCAAATCACTTCTGAGTTGATTATTTTGTACTTCTCGACAGTTTTAATTCATTGCGACTTAAGAAAGGCAATGGGCTAATGGATTTGTAATTTATGCAGTTTAGTCTAGAGCAAAAGTCAACACACACATGCAAATGGGTAGTCCATTCATTCAAGCAGTGTCAGCCGTTTGAATGGGAGAGTAGTCGCTAACAAAGGAACGCGGCATTCGATCGTTTTTTTTTCGCCAAACGCGAGTGTTTTGCGGCAGTGTTTAACGTACAATTCATTAAACAATTTTGAGTTTCGAAAATATTTTTATTCTCGATATTAATAAGTTTTTTTCTACCACAAATGGTGCGAACTATTGTTTCGTAATTCTACTTGAAAATTCTAATGCTTTTGTCAAGCGTTCACAAAGCCGGTTTCAAGGCGTACAGCTATGAAACGGCACAATTATATCCCTATTTACAATCAGTATCTTCTAGATTAACTCTAACTGTGTGGCTGTATAAATGCGCTATGCAAGTAGAGCTACGCTTAAGGGCGTTCTCAATTTATCTGAAAAATATAGCGTCACTAATATTGCACTGCGAAAAAATTTTAATTTTATTGTCTATTGCGTTTTCAACAACGACGCGACAGAGTATAAATGAAAGAAAAATCAAGATAACAATTTCTTAAAACAGCGTTCCTCTGGGTCGCTTCCTTAAACCCCCCTATGGGTGAGAAATAAAACGGCGTAAAATATATTACGTCCTGCGAAAACACAAGTCTCTGAATTATCTTTTAGTTTGCTTGATTCAAAGCCAGCAGCTTTCTCAACAACACAGCGTTAATTTTCTTTTGTTTTTCCAACTCTGCTACAAGTTTTATCTCTTCCTGTTTGATTTGACTTATATATTCCCACGATTTTCGAAGAATTGAGACTTTTGGAGCCCTTTCATTGTCCTTTAATTCCGGCACACAGTCCCGCAACTTCTGAAACTTCAGTTTCAAATCGTTCCTTCGTTTTCGCTCCAAGACGTTGTGAGTTGCGCGCGTAAACTCGCTGTCGTTTTCCGATTCGTCGCTCTCCCCGGAACTACTAGAGTTCTTAGCAACTTTTTTTCCTTCCCTGTAATTTAGTTCGTCGCTAGATAAGGCTTTCCTGTGTCGACGTGTTCTGATCTTGCCCACAAAATCACTTTTCTCGTCGCAAGGTTCTTGAGGCTCTTCAATGGTTGAAGTTTTAAAAGAGGGTTCACTCGAGGTTGTTTCGGCAATAGTAGTAACGCAATTACTGTTCTCATTTTCATCCTCCATCAATTCTTCTGTTTCCTTCTCGCGTTTAGAGTTCTCTATAGAAACAACATCGATTTCGACTTCCTCTTCTTCTGTAAAGTTTGTGAAAACAAACAAAAAATGTTAGAAAATAGTTATTAAAGTCTCTTCTCTTGATTATTAAGCAAAAAAAGGGACGTGAGTTTGTTTGAAAGTGGCACGACCCCGGAAAAGAGGGAACACAAAAATGAGAGCAATCAATTGGAAGAGGGGCCAAATCAGTGTCAGAAATGGTCATAGATCGGCGAACACACAACACAGATTCAATCAGCCAGAGCGAGTACATCTATTATTCATCTAAGTGGTTATATACCTACCGGAATCCGATTGATCGTCGATGTTTTCACGCAGTTCACTTCCCGGGCTTGCGCTCAGAGGAAAGGGAAATATCTCTGATGGATCCACGCTCAGAATTCTAGCCGCACACTCACTCAGTGGTGGTGTTTGGCAGAGGAGACGTACACGTTCCAGTTTTGTATGCGTATGAATTCGCTGTTTCCTGTCCGTTGCCTTCTCGAACGCCGCACCGTTCCACATACAGTCTTTAATCAATATATCCTTGAGGTCGCCGGATTGGAAATACAGTGAGCACTCTTCATCTATCGATAGCCCTTCATCGGCTAAGCCATGGCAGACTGGCTGCTCTCTTACTTCATCCGTCGAGGCGTACGGGGGCGAGCTCGCCGGTGAGATCGGTGGCGTTAACGGAAATGAGAAATTTTTCCAAAGGTCATCCGTCGATTCCTTACTCCTAGGCTTGAAGTCTGTGGAATCATCGCTCAAATCTTTGAAGAGTGAAGGCGGTGGATCGAAGTCGCTACTGAAGCTCTCCAAGAGAAGACTGCTTACGGATATGGCCATTTTCCTTCGCACACTGTAACGTATAAACTTCAATCAGTGTCTAGTCATGAATCATGACTTCGCGTGATGGCGTGTGTAGTAAAAACTATATTTCCCGTCAAAATCATCGGTGATCAAGAACGCGGACAATATTCATTCTTACCTTTTTCAAGATAAACTTGGCACCGACCAGTCGGTGACTCTGCCCGCTTTGCCGAAGTATAAATTCTGGTGATGTCACCAAAAATGAAACACTCCGAAGCGATCGGTACTACGCTCAACGACCAAATGCGAAAAGTTTTACTCTTCACGCTAATTCAAATCCATTCATTGAAAATTTAAACAATGAGCGGCGGCTTGGGCACTAAATTACTCCCACGCACTTTAGACCCACGCGCTAGCCTATGAGGAAATTCCGTTTCGAATAAATTACCAGCGCGCGGGAACGGCGTGTTGTAAAGTGAGCATATGTGGCGGCGACTGCGGAGGTCAGAAACGTGGAGAAGGAGACTGCAAACGGCCTTAGCATTTCTTTGACAGAGGAGTGTTGTCTCTCACTTGGTTTGAAAACAAACGCAAAAGTTCAGCTCTGCGCAAATATAAATATTCATAAACACTGTGTTATTTTAGCAGAGCCTGTTGTTTGCTGATGCCCAGCTGTGATTAGAGTGACAGGGCACTGCATTATGGGATGTGCCGCCCCTTCAAGGCTCTCAGTAACTCCACGTTTTACTCACTGCCTTAAACACAATGGTCATCAGCGAGAACAATGAAGATTTAATCTAAGCTTTGACAGGCGACTAGTGTTCCATTGTAAACCACACCTGCGAACGGACATCTGGCAACCATAGAAATTGATAAATTTGCGTGAGGTTCCCTTTGTTTCGTAGCACTTGTTGCTAGAATAATCTTCTTTAGAGAAGACATTTTAAGTACAATGACTCCCTCTAAGGCAACCAAATTTGAATTAGCTTGCAGTGCCGGAATTTGAGAAAGAATTTCGTTCAACTGCTGCCGACATCATATCTCGGTGAACAAGTGCCGGTTTCCGTAGAGCCAAAACAACCTCGCGGAAACACGATAAAAGATTTAAAATAGCGTGAAAAGTTTTGAAAATATAACTATACATTCAAGTATCGATTCGGACAAACGCTGACAGGGGCAAGGAAACTGACAAAATGACCATTCAGGAGCCATTGTTTTATATTTTGCGTTGTTTGGCGTCTTTTAAAGTTTAAAACCGGCCTATCCAGTGATATCCCAGTTACACCATGAATAACCCTTTTTGTATAGTGTTGATAAACAAAAAGGTTTGAAATATCACAGCAGAGAGCGGAGACTAAACTATCAGCTTTTTCTGGAATTTAAGCCGGGAACAGTTTATTTCTGGTGGATTTATTATTCAGTTCTTCCACCTGCCCCGAGGTAAGCAAATCGGAAGCTTGGCAGCTGCGAACATTGTTAGAAGCAGATGGCTAAGAAGCTATGATAAATTATCAACAACTGAAGTTATTTAGGTTCATATCCCGCTAGTTAAATTCCTGGCAGCTGTTCTGTAACGAATGAGCTACTTAAAACACTGCAGAAATACCTTTATCACAGTTTACGCCGGTGGAAGAGCAGGGCGCAAAAAGTAAATTAAATTGACCGAAGGACGACAGTTTTTGACAAGTGATTACGAAACGTGAACACAAAAGGGCATTTAAAAAACGAAATTTCCTAAAACCTGCCTTAAGTGTCCCTGTTGCATTTATTTTCATCGAACTATTTATACTTCACTTAAGCGTGAATTTTGTCCACCGGGTTATTTTTATTTTATTTCATTTTTTTCTATTTTCTTTCTTACTGAAAAAAAATAACTTACCGCCTCCGCAATTTGTTTCAAAATTTTTAAAAAACGGATACTCAAGAATCATTGCATGATTAAAGAAATTTCACATAACCAGTTTAAAGAAATATACTGGTAAGATGAAGGTAAAGAGAGTCAGCAAAATTTCTAAAAGTAGAAACACTGATATTTTTCCAATCGGAAGAAAGCCTTAAAAAATCATTAAGCAGGTATTTATGAAGCTTGCTTTAACAACACGTACTATTCCTTAATTAATGAAAAAAGTCTTTAAATTGAATTATTATCAGTGCAAAAATTGTAAGCATCGTAATTTAACGTTAAAACAACACCCCGTGTTGTAGTCATTGAAAGTGCTTTGTTTTCATTTTCAACTTAATCTCGTGTTGCAACAAGCCAAATACTTTCAGGTACACTACCATATTTTGCAAACATTTCAGGAGCGCAGCGGAAATTTTAATAAGCCAACCGGATATTGACGTCGCTTATCCTACATATCAACTCACGAAACGGGACATCATGCTGTTTGGCTTCCGGCAAATTAGCTAAGTAAGCAAGTTTAATCACGAATGTCTTGGCTAGTACAAGCACTGAAGAACTACGCGCTTTTTGCAAGATTACCTGAAAAGGCAGGACTTTGTTGTACAAACTATTTTGAAACAATTTCCTTCGCGACACGTTAGTAACTTACACTACGTTTATTTCAAACGATATATACGCTTCGATGGGCAGCTAATGAAATATCTTAACCTATGAACCACATAGAGAATATAAAATGTTTGGCAATTAA